TACCCTTATGACTGGTTTTGTGGTCCAGGGTCACATATACTTTTAAGAAGTAATACTATGAACATGTGAATTACAATTTTATTATATTTGAATTCATTTATTATAATGATTGTTTGTGCAACCCCCCTTATAAACCCAAATTTAATTACAACCTATAAAGTGTTTTATCTAGTATAATGTAGCACACACTCATTCAAGACATTTGTGACGCTGACGGTGTATGAGCTGTAAGATGTAAAAAAAAAAAAAACACACATCAAACTATATTACTATCTATTTGTCTATCTATTATCTGTCTACTAATGTCATGACATTAGCGCCCTGCAACACAACACTGCTAAAGCTGCAACCCTGCAAAGGTGATGATAACCTCTGATGTCAACTCACTGATGTCTTCACAGACATTTTACATTTTACCTTATTTGTATATTTGTATAGTTGTATTTTATACTTAATCTGTATATCTGTATTTATGTTCTACTGTTAGTGTTATCTGTATGCACCAAGGGTCTGAGAGTAACGCAATTTCAATTCTCTGTGTGTATGTGCTGTACATGTGGAAGAATTGACAATAAAGCAGACTTGAACTTGAAAAAAAAAAAACTTGAATAAATGTATTTCTCCAGCAGGTAACCATACTTATTTAACAACTTATAGATTATTGTTATCATTTGACTGTTAAAACGTGTTTCGTTTCTTTGCTTACCTTGAACAATCTAATGTCTTCTGCATGAGATCTTCCAGACAGCTTGGACTATTATGCAATTCCATTAAAAACATCCAGCAGTCAATTTACTATTTCATAGGGGAGTTGTATACGTTTATTATCAAAATATACATATTAACTACATCGTATAGAATTATAAGTGGTCTTTAAATTAATTTATTTTGAATTTACTTATTATTAAATGCTCATAGATGCATCTTTATTTACACAAACTGAATAAATGCGGTTGGACTGAATTTTAAACACCCCTAAACTGTAGTGAATTTGGTATATTCCTGAGAGCGGCGCATTTGAGATTCCAGATACTCGCAACTGCGCAGGAGATGCGCAGACTGATGGGCAGAAGAGGTTGGAGTTCCAAAACCTTCTTTGAATTACATTACGATCTCTTTTAGTTGTGGCTGTTGTGCGTAGTAATGTTCTTTAATTTATTTTTTAAAAATGACAGATTTTTGGTGCTATAGTTTTTGGACATATACTAAGGTAATGTTTTTTGTGGATATCTACAGTGATGTACCATGTGCATAAATGATAATCATTTAAAATATGAATGGTGTTTTGATATTAAACAGGAGCATGGTTAACACTGTCATGTGACTGTGATACCCACTGATCATCTTCCAGTCTGCTTCATATTGGGGTCCCGATCACCCTGATTTTTAAAATTATTAACTTTTATTTCAACCCTTTTCCGGATTTGACCACAAATCCCTCCCCGATAGGTGTATGATAATGACTTAAGATAGTATTGATCTTGTAATTAGTCATGTCAACTCTGATTCTTTACAATATGGTACAGTATCTTATTGCATATTGCAATTTTCAAATCAATTTATTTATCTTAAACCATTTTATATAGTACTGTGGACAACAGCCTCTCTAGCTATGTACTGCTATTAACATTACATATCACTCATTTTTCAACTAAAACATTACATGGACCGAGCCAAGGACTGTTATCAAACAACAAAACAAGGGTATAAAAAATGATAACTGATCAATTAAAATGCTAAGCGCATTCACAAAATATTTCATGAATATGAAACTGTGATCTTTATTTAACAAAAGTCTTTATTTACTGCAGTTACATGTTAAACCAATAAGGGCGTTTCCTGTTGCGTTCTACAATTCTCTTGTCCTTATCTGCTTCAGAGGGCGTTTCATTTTCATACAAAACAACAGACTCTACAGCAGGAGTGTTGAGAGGTCTGCCTTCCATGATGGAGATTTGCTTTCGTATCATTGCTGTCTCCTTCCTGACTTTTTCATAGCAGAATCCACACAGAGTATGCTTCAGTTTCATGTTGCCACACTCTGGACATGGCTCAATGTTGTACTGGAAAAGAAAAGAAAAACAAGGATAAACTGCTGTTTACTACAGCACAGTATAACATTGAAAGTTCTTTTAATTTATATAATGCTATACCAGTGAACCAGTGAGATCTTACCTTGACTTTTATCAGTTTATTTGGGTGTCGTCTTCTGCAACGATTTACTTCAATGGTTCTTCTCTTTTTAGGAGCTGCCATCCAAAAGATACTGTCCAAGAAACTGGGCTCAGAGTTTTCTTCATCACTGCTGTGATGGGATTGAGGAAGAATCTGGGGACCATTTACTGCCAGAGCTGGACCTGAAGAAAAGATTTATGTGATAGATTAATAAAATAATATTCAAACTGAGTTACTAAAATAATTTTTAAACACACAGTAGCATTTTAAATATACTTTACCCCAATCACTGTCCATTTATTTTTTATTTTTTTATAAGAGAGATAAATTCGACTTCAAAGTTCTATATAT